GAATGTCCTTTTGCTTCTGCAAGTCGAGATAATACGCCAACAGCGGCCGAAACACCTCCATCTCCGACTTGCCCAGCTGGCGCGCCTCGTACGGCAACGACGCTGCCGCAGCAGCCGCCTTCTTCTCTTTCGAAGCAGTGCCGCCCCCGCTGGCAGTGTCACGCGGCCCATCCCGGTGCCGACGATGATGATGATGGCGTCGATGCCTGTGTCTCGAATCCCCATCCTCCGGGTCATCGCGGTCGCGGTCGCGGCGGCTGCCGCCGTCGTCTCTGCGGAGAGATCTCATACTCCGCTCCCGACGCGAACCGCCCTCGCCGACGGGTGACCTCCGCCTCACTTCGTCCCGGTGCCGTCTCGGCGACCTGGACCGGGAGCGGGTCCGTCCGTATCTCCGCTCCTCACTCCTCCGCTCAACGGAGCGCTCGTCGTCTCCGGCCATACTTCAGAGGACGAATTGGCGTTCAAATGAGTGAGTTACGCTCTCGAGCAAGGATGCGCCAAGTTGGGATGAGATTAAGATGAAAAGATCCACGATAAGGCACCCTCGTTTGACACACCACACGCAAGACCCCTCCTTGCCTGTTTGCGACACGTCCTTCTCGAAAGAACCTCGGAAAACAAGCTTTTCTCCTTGCTTTTGGGGTTCGTTCCCAAAAATGTGACAAGCAAGGTCGCACGTCAGATATCTCTTGACAAGGATGGCGACTGCTCTCTCCCCAAAGAGAAACTTGACAAAGTGAGGTAGTAGGTGTGTGGGGTAAGGATTTCTGGTCCGGACGTCGAATTGTGGCCGTCTCTTTGTTTGACCACAGTTTCAGGCTGCGAGAATCTGCCGCGACGGTGAAGCCGATCAGCCGAAATTGGCCTGCGCACCCAAAGGAAGGGGGGTGGCAATATTCGGAGGATGCCGAATGGGGTTGGCTATCCCAGGTGAATTTTGCGGCGGCAGGTAATGAAGAAGCTCGAGAGGTGAGGAATTGTAATGGTGCTAAATATCAAAGTACGGTACGGTAGTTGCAAGGTTGGTCGTTTGCGGTGATGTTGTTATATGAGAAGTCGACGTCCGTGCCTCCTGACGGCAAGGAAAAAGTTGGAGACTCCCCTGGTCTCGGGGCGTGGCTGCCCTGGGGACCGGAGCAGTGGGTACCCCAACTTCGGCGCCGGAAGGCAGCACACACCGTGCCGAGTTCCCCTCTCCTGCCCACGACAACTCCGAAAGTAATGTCTGAATTACGGCACTTGAGCCCGGGCTCTATCGTCTGTCAATTTCTAGCTGTCTCAGCCCAGTGTAGGTATTTCTCAGCTCATTCTTGACTTCACTGTGAACGGTACGCGAGGGAAGTGTTGAATAGTTTCTGTTTCGATTTCAATCACCGGATCGTCAAACGTTCTATGAACGAGTATTTATTCTATCAGTACTATGATGCGGCCAGTAGAGGGTATCGTTCCAAACACCGCGTATGCAACTCGAAAACGGCTGAACAATGCCGACCTTCCAAAAGACTCATTCGTATCCACCGTCGAGGGTAAAACATTCCGCAAAACCTAATCCTTTGCGGACCCCAGCTCGACACACCCGAACACCCCTCATCCTGACTCGGGCATGGGCGAGTTATTGTGTATCGAGCAGCCGAGGCACTGACAATCGTCGCCGCATGGACATGACGACGTCTCGCCAGCGCATCCGTCACCGTTGAACGGGTATGTCACGAAGAAGAAGTCGTTCGCCGATAGTGCCTGCTCTTCACTCAACACTGAGGCTCCATCGGAAGGTGTTTGCGGCCCAGCAGGAGAACCGCTGTTTTCGCCATTCGTGTGTGCATCCATTCCGCGGGCGCCAGTCCCGTTGGTCGTTGCCGTCTCCGAGTGCCCATTCGTGCCGTTCGTGCCGTTCGTACCATTCGTCATTCCATAAGAGTCGTCCAGCATACTTGTGTATGCAGATCGCACGTAGTCTTGTGTCGCATCGTTGTAAGGGTGAGCCGCGCAGCCCACACACTGGCAGCCGTCGCCACAGCTGCACATGTGTGATGTTGATTCGGGCATCATTGGGGTTGTACCATCTGGGGTAAAAAGCGAGTTCGGCATGCCGTATGCGGCCGGCGGCGGGATTGGTTGACCATACTGCTGCGCCTCCATCTGCTGCTTCCACTGTGCAGGCTGTAGCGGTGACATCCAAGACCCGTATTGAGGCGGATATGTGAAAATTGTTGGTTGGAAGTATGAGTTGAACATGCCTTGGGGCATGGCGGTAGGTGTCTGGAAAGGCGACATGGCTATGGCGCTCGACGGCGACATATGGCCATTCGACATGTGATGTACGTTTGTGTCTATCGCAGGTGCCTTGCTAGAGCAACAACCGCCCTTCTTAGGCTTTGCTTGCGTCTTGGGGCTCGAGCTGACACTAGAAGGCTGTGTAGAGCTCCCCTCGGCTTTGCTTGGCCCTGAGCAACATGAGCCACCCGTGCTGGTGCTCGTCAACGAGGGCGGAGGGGCGGGCTTCGGCGTCCCATTTGTCTTTCCTGAGCAGCAAGATCCCCCATTCGACGCCGCTGCCATCGGAGTAGGCGTTGTCACAGTCTGTGGCGTGTTGATGGCTGATGGTACGGCATTTGGCTGAGGCATCGACATCGCGGCTCCCGGGGGGAACAGGGGCGCAGGCATCTGCTGTGGGAACATTGGATACATGATGGGTTGGTGGAAACCGCCGTTAACGCCGCCCATCATGGTCATACCGCCGTACTCCATCCCATTTCTAGGTGCGGGCATACCCGGCATGCCACCGTTGGCTTGTGGCATGTGATTCGCTTGGGCCATGTCGTATGGCGGCAGTATGTTGATATTGGTGGCATCCATCCTCTCAAGGTTCACGGGGTCGAACGACTGCTTGCGGCTGGCCGCCTTCGGGGCAGACTTTTGTATGCGAAAGGAGGCGGCGGATGCCTTGGTCGGAGACATTGGCGGGACATCGCTCGCCGGCGATTCTGCCTTGATGACACTGGGTGATTCTGCGGGGGTTCCGGCGTTGCTGGAACCGCAGCCGCATTTCTGCTTTCTCGGGATGGCGGCCGTTACACTACCACAGCCGCAACCGCGAGAGGGTGGATGAGGACATGTGCTCAAAGGTCTGCCGGGCTTTCGAACGGGGACCATCAAGCGTTCATTCGCATGGGTGCATTTGGTGGAGCGATGACCACGGATGCATGGCTCGCTAGAGGGCGAAGGGTGAAGTGGTTAGCTCAGGGTCCTGCGGAAAGCGGGATGCGGGATTCCATCGATGCACACAGAAATCGCCAGTCATGGCCGTAGTATGGCGAAGGAAAACACGACGAGGAGAAGACGAAATGATGGAGGACAGGAACGGAAGGAATAGGACGCTGCGACTTACCAAGCCATCTTCTGGCCGTTGATGAGCGGCATGGTGGGCTGTGGTGGGGGTGGCTCTCAAGGTTGCTGTGATACGTGAGAGGAGGTAGAGATTTTGGCGATCTTCCAAGTTGCGGTAGTGTCTCCGGGCTTCTCTAAAAAGGTAATTGCAAAAGTAAAAGCTGCGATGAATGTCGCTCGCTCAGGCTTCGGCCCCAATAGACCTCGGACGGTGGGAGTGAGCGGCGGCGTGGAACATGAAGGCGGGAGCCAGCTCTCAAGGTGCGGCGGCGGCGTTCGTCGAGTCTTGGTTCGCGGTCGTTCCTATGGTTCGCGGTCGCTGCTGGTCGGTCTCTTTGGTGGGCTTGTTTGCGACGCAGGCAAGCAAGCTATGTATCCGGCGACGATGGGTGAAATCGGCTCAGCGGGCAAGAAAGGCCATGTGATGATCGAGCGGGCGCCGGCGGTAAGGTGAGTCGTCGGGGGCTTCCAGCGCAAAGCAAATCGGTAACGATGTCGAGGTGAGAAATGCGGGATTGCAAGAGCTGGAAATTGGCGAGAGAAACGAGCGGCGTTTCGAGCGTGAAGAGGTTTAAAGCTGCGCGCAAAGGCCGGGGGGTCGTAAGGAAGGGCAGGTTTCTGGGTATTGAATGAAATGGAAGTAGACGGGACTCTGAGAGAAGCGCCGGGTCGGCAAAGCAGTGGGATCGTTGCTACCTTTACCTTAGCTGCCCTGGTACCCAAGGTAAGGTATCCGTAGTGCTTAGTGTGTGGTGTGTGGTGGTCGGTGGTCGGTGGTCAGGGAAGACAAAGTCACAAAGGCGGGTTAGCAAAGGGCAGAAACAGCGACGGTCCATGGGAACAGGAAACGGCCCAGTGGACCGTTTGAGGTGGAAAGGACGTCGGCGTCGGGGGAGACTGGGTTTGGCCTGTACGAATAGTCCACTGCGACTGAGGAAGGAACAACACGGTCAACACCAGCAGCACCTGCTCGAGTCGAGTTAAGGTACCTTTGGGTAGGTAACTTGAAGAGCAGTCAAGGCAAGTCCCTTCTTTCCTCTCTCTCTTCCTCACTCCTTCTCCCGATCTGAATTCAGCAAAACACTCCTTCCCCCGACCCGAATTCAGCAAGAGGTACAACCATTGAACCACCTCATACAGGTAGGTAGGCACTTGCCTCCTCTCGGATAGCCTTGGGTCCCTGACCAGCACTAGCGGCCCCTATGCTCGATGTCCTACCTTGGTCCTTGGCATCGTCTAGTCCAGCCCAGTGTGAGCCTGTGAAGGTGAGTGAGTTCCAGTTCCGAGCCCCCCCCCCCCCCAGCCAGCAGCGGCAAGAGGAGACGCCCAAGAGAAGCACGAGCAGTGGACAGCGGCGGTGGGCGTGGGCAATGGATGGGGCGCGGCGGGCGGGAGGGGGGTGAGCGAGCCAGGTGAGGGACGGCATCCCGGTAGCGCATCGAAACAGCCCCACGTGCGGGGGGGTTTACTACATGCCTCGCTCGCTGTCCGCCGCCTGCTTCACTTTCTGCCTTGCTCGGATACTCGACGCATGGATGACAAAGATAGTTCAATGAGGGTACGAATGCCGTACAGATACCGAAATCTCAGTGCCCCAGTGACAAGTTTGCCTACATCAGTATCTGCGATGAAAGCCCGGGCGGGAAGAGGGGTCTGTCTGCAGCTCTCATCACAGACGGCATGCCATGTCTGTCCGTACACCCAGAACCACTGGACAGGTACATACAGTACACAGATACCCTTTCCGGCTATGCCACCTCAACCTCGTCTTACAATCCGAGCCCAGTCATGTCCATGGTCCCTCACTGCCAATCTCAATGCCTCATAAGACTTGAACATGGGATGATTTTAGATGGTCCTGACTATCCATCTCTCTTCTTCACTCTTGTTCGGAGCAAGCTTTTCTGACGGCAACTTTCTAACCAACTCTAAGGCACGTTATTCAACACGATAGCAGGGCCAACCCAGCAGCACCACCACCAACCCAGGAATTTCTGCATCTGCTTAAAACGGCAAGCCGGGCGCGGTTGGGACTTTACCTCAAGCCCGTAATCTATGGCCTGGACACGGCGCGCTTCCCACGTTGACATGGCGTTCGCCGCAGAAGCGTCCCGAGCGTCTATCTCCCTCACTGTCGGTGGGCTTCTTAACCAGATAGAATTACCTACCAGCACAAGACATGCCGCAACGCATCGGAAAAGGGAGAAATAAAGAAAGACGTGAGAGAGATGTGGCTGACTAGCAAGACAACGCTCCCGGCTATGAGAATAAGCCGCGTGCTCTCCCTTCTTCTGCCGGGATATGCTGCCCAACTTGATAAGAAGCTAACTCTAGATCGCCGTTTAGTACCGAGTTCCCGTTTTCCCTTTACCCTCCGTAACCCAGTCTGTCTCTTTACACAGTACATGAGAATATGGGAGCAGGCCCTCAGGGTCATATTTCTTCTTCACGCCATTCTTGCATCTTGACATGTCGTTGTGCCCCCCCATATCGATTGTAAGCTCCATCATCAGAGGAACTGTAAGATCATGTCAAGGGTCCAGACTCTTGAGATCCTGTGCGACCACGCATGCACTCACACTCACACTTACTCACACATTACGGCTGACCGTCTGACTGGGCTCATCCTCTCACTCCCGCGAGTCGGTGCCGAGTCCGCGGTCGGCCCAGACTCAGGCTCCCCCCTTCCAGGCTCCAGGCCGGGAATCAGGTCACCTACGAAAAGAAAGTCGGAACTTTTCAGGAAATTCATATTGCCTACTGTGCAAAGTACATCGAACATCGATCTCATGTACGACTTGAATCCGATTTCGTGTCTTGAAAGGTCTCGCCACGGTTCAGTAGTCCACTCATCCTCCCCGTGTTAGTGGTTCAGCCAACGACAACCCGCACGGATATCGCGCGCGCACAGGTTTCCCAAGGCTCAAAGCATTCCGAGAACCCCCATAAATGAATTCGTTTTCCCACGACCAGGCTCTCTACATCAGGAAACTCGAGCGCGGGGACAAATACATGGGCAGATAGAAAAGCGAAAAAAGGGCGAGGACTACCGTAAGAGGGTGGGAGCGAGCAAGTAAAAAAAAACAACCGACTACATACTCCACCGTCAGAGGCTCGAGAGGCAAGGGAAGTGAGCAAGTTTTGATTGGCCGGATCCGGTCAAGCACCACCAAAAATTCACAACGAGAAGGTCGTCGAACCAGACCACCCCTCTCTCTCTCGCTCTCTCGCCCTCTCTCTACGAGCCTACCCAACAAGAAACCGCTTCACACGAAGAATGCGTATCCATGGCTGTGCAGGAGTAGCGCTCCGAAAAAAGGTACCCCGTGGGTGGACACTTTGTAATGTAACCTGTGTGCCTGTGTCGTTGGCATTAAGGCGGCTTCTCTCTTCATTCTCCGCCGCAACTTGTGGCGCGGGGCTAGATATATGTTGCTGAAAGTGAGGAAGGGAGAGATCTCTGTAGAGGCAATATGTAGACGGCTCGTCAATTACTGCCCTCACCTCCACGCCAAGGTGAACCCGCCAACCGACGCTTCACTTATGCCGTCATATCTCATCCCTTTCATATATCCATCCGTATGGACTTGTCTGCCCATCACCCTTTATGCATTGCCATGCCGCGCTCTCTCTAAGCGGCTTCGGGCAGCCTAAACTTGGACCGCCCCGTCCTGCAGAAGCAGGACGGCTGCCATATCCCCCTCTCACATATACCCCGTCCCGCTCACGGCCCAGTCAAGACACATGCGTTTACAATACTATTCTTCAGACAAACCCAGGATCTTCATAGGGTGAGCAGTTTTTATCAATCGTCCAAGCCCGCCGTCTCGCCCCTGGTGTCGTCTTGGCCTACTTGAAGAACCAGCGCCTGCGTCCGCCACGCGCGCTTAGTTTCCCTCATCCGAATCCCCAGAGTCAGCAAACATGTCCACTGCTCTCATCCTTTTCCGAGGCTGTCCCTTCGGCTGGGTTGATAATTGCAAACGTCCGACAGTGGGGGCGTCGTCAGTCTTCGCGGCCTCTGCCGTTCCTTCTACCTTGCTGCTGGTCTCGCCTGACGGTGACTGATCCTTTGCCGTTTCGGTTGCGTCCTCTTCCATCGGCTCCCCCTCGACATCATCATCCACCATGGGCTCACCCTCCACATCCTCCTCGCTCATTGGTTCGCCCATGACATCGTCTTCTTCCATGGGTTCACCGGCAACATCCTCCTCATCCATTGGTTCGCCTTCGACGTCATCCACCTCTTTGTCAGCTGTTGACTCTGGCGCTCTCTGATCAAGGGTGCTCGTTGTGGCAACATCGGCGGCCGGCATCGAGGACTTCTCAACCACCTTCCATCTACCCTTCTTGGCTGCGTCATCTTCAATCTGCTCTTGTGTCTTTGAAGATGGCGGGTTTTCGAAAGTTTTGGCAAACAACTCCTGACTCTCCGTTGGGAAGACACACCAACCTTCCCAAAGGGTCAGGACTAGACCGACGCTTCGTTTCCACTTCTCAGCCCGCAGTCGGCCCCAGTTTAGCTTCTCAGCCATCAGCCCCAGACCCTCAAAAATATTGTGCTCTTTGAGTGCTCCTTCGAAGATTTGTCGATACCGCCAAGCACGCTGAATACCGCTACTAGAGGAGGCGGATAGTACGTCGCTGACAACGTAAAGGCCCACAAGGCTTGCACCGCTGGTGTCAGGGCCCTCCTTCTCGGTTTTCCCTTCCGGCTCAGCTTCAGGCGGCTCTGAATCGCCCCTTTGTCTTCCCTTCTCTTTGCCATTCGACTGAAACTCTGGGTTGGCCGCCGTTAATGCAAAGGGCTTCTCGACATTCGAGACGATCATGTCGACGACCTCTTTGGCACCCCGGCTTGCGTGCGTAAGCGCAAACGCTGTCACTCGGGCGACATCTCCTTTCCGAATCTTGGACAAAGTTGTGGGCAAACGTGATAAGAGATGGGTAAGCTTTGCTTTGTCGAGTGGGTTCAAGAAGGTAGCCTCTGCTTCAGGCCCCTGAGTCTGATTCTCGCGGTTTTCCCCGTCAAAGTCCTCGTCGTCCGAGGAGTTATACTCCGAGTCGGATACAAACTCATCGAGTTCTGTGACGAACTCGAATGGCAGGCCTTTCTCTGGAGCTTTCCAGGCATGGCTGCCGTCAAAAAGCGGTAGATACCGTCCCTTGTTACTCCGAGAAGATGCTCCTGTGACGATCTCCCATAATCGCCATCGGTACCAGATACCTCCTTCGCTGCGTGCGTCCCAAATCCAAGCCCATTTTTCCTCCCGTTGAACCTCGGGGCGGCTCATGAGCAAAGCCTCAAATTCCACGCCGTGCTCGAGAACCGACTCGATGGTCCTGTTGATGAGGTGTACCATCTTTATATCGTTTGGAGGCTTGACAGGCACGTGAAGAATACTGCTCCGATTGATTGAAGCACCGATATTTGGGCCATACGAAGTTGGCGGCGCAAAGCCTCGATGGAAGGCGTGCTGTGTTGTCGCGTTACCGGGTGCTGTCGGCTGTGATACAGGCTTGGCACCAAAAGGCTGCGATCCGGCGGATGTACCACCCAGAGTCGATGTTGTCGCGGTTGCCACCGTTGAGGATAGATGCCGGTGCAACGACAAATAACAGCCGTAACCCAGGTAGCGATTTTGTAGCGAGCTCACGACTGCATCCAGTTCTGTTGCTGGCGTGTCTGGCGATAGTGTGACAATGGCTACGGCGCATTTCTTCTCCGTGCCCGAAGGTCCCATAGGCGGTAAAATCTTGACGTGTTCAACATTAAGGCTTGTCGGGATCAATGACTTGATGAAGGCAGGCGATGTTCCAGGCGGCAGCTGAGAAAGACGCAACGTAGGTCTAGCCACTGCGACTTCCTCGGCTCTCGAGTCTGGTTTGGCTTCGTCCTCGTCGTCACTGTTGTGGAAGACCTTGGCGACCGAACTCGGTTCCTCCCTTTCCTCGAACCCGAGCCTGCCATCTCTGTCCCTCTCCTGCCGGTATGCGTCGAAGCCCCTCTTCCTTCCAAGCGAGCCAGGCGGAGGTCCCAAGCTTCCCGGACCGCTCTTGAAGCTCGGAGTAGGACCTAGACTACCAGGGCCGCTCTTGGGATTGGATGCGCCAAAGTGTCGCCTAGATGGTGCAGGTGCGCCCAACGGAGCGCCGCCGAACCCAGCCACCTTGGGCTGGGGTCTTTGTGAAGGCATCGAGCCAAACCGGCCGGTTCTCGGGTCGTCATCGTCATCGTGGTCGAAACTCTTGACAAAGTCTTGGTATACTGCGGCGGTCTCGGCAGCCTCGCGGGCCTTCTTTGCTTCGGCTTCGGCTCTCTGTTTCTCGAACGCGGATTGCTTGGATGGTTTCTGGAGCTTCGCCTCCACGTCGGGGAATTCGACGAGGTCTTTTGCCGATGACATCGCTACCGGTATAGCTGTGAAGCTTCTTGTCGCATAGTCAGAATCGATGAGAATCTGCCGAGTTCAGGAGGCGCGTGGTCGTAGACCGCAGTTGACTGTATTCGTAAAGTTGCAGAAGAAGTTCAGCGCAGCGCTCTGTAAGTGTGTCCGTGGACCTGTCGCGCCGTGCACTGTGTGCAAGAAGATAGACGGAAGTCTCGCACTGTTCTCCTCACTGCCACTTTCTGCTGTGGCTTGACCGACTTGAGCCACACTTTCCTGACTTCGCACCTTGTTGTACTTCACTCTGCGGTCTATCTCCACTTGTTGCCGGCAGCAGCATCCTGGCGACCGTCATGTCTGACAAAGTGTTCCTTCCGAGCGTAGCCATGGATGGTGTTGTAGATATAGACTGCACGTATCTGGAATTGATTTCTCGCGCGATTGTGGGCACTTGGTAGCACCATCGTGTGCAAGACTTGATGTAGAGGTCCACGTCTTGAGTATCGTGCAAGCGATCATCATTGGCCGAAGCGATGAGTGGGATCTGCTCTTGGGAAAACAATGGCACAGGCGAGTCAGCGCAATCATGGACCACAAGAGTGAAACCCTGGATCAGGGACATCACCAAAGCCCGCGAGGGAGTCCTCAGACGGCCACGAGATCGAGTGACCGCACCAAGCACTTTCATCACTTACCACTTGCACCAAACAGGTCTACTTGCTTATGGCGATGAGATGTTAAGTTCACAGCTTCTGCGGATGCTTCAAGCCACGAAGAACCGCTGTGGATGACACGTCATGGTGCGGCATGTAATCTAGGCAGTAGCTTATGGAAATGCGGTTTTCTCTTGAATATAAAGAAGGATGCACCTGCGACAGAACCTGACTCTTGATATCTCACCACATCACCTTCTCTGTCCCAGTGCTCTCGTAATAACGCCTGCCCCGAACCCCTTTCGAAGACGTTGATACTGACCGATACCACTAGTCCTTCCCTGGCACATATTCCTATACGTATACGGCAATACCGCATCCGACCAAGACGCCCTACATCGCACCCGTGCAATTACAAGATGGACGCTGCCATAGATCTCAACAACATGAACGCAGCCAACACGACCGACGTTCTTTCCCAGCACGTCCAGGAAGAAGGACATGGAGGTCCCACTCGTCCATTCGAGCTCATAGCCCGCACCGACTGGATGAGATTAATGTACCACACAACCTCTCAACGCGGACCGACACCCCCAAGCAGGGAATATCTTTTACCGCGGGTAGACAACATTGATGAATTCATGGAGTGGCGGGAAAGTTTTGTTCAACGAACCATATACTTCGACAATTGGTTTCTTCAATTCATTTACAGCATCTTTGACTTCTTCCGCCTCCAATATCGCATCTTGGTCACTCATTGGAGTGAATACTCAAGATGGGAGAAAGAGCGTATCAAGAATCCTTGGGGAAATTGGGAGGGTCAGATTGGATTTCAAGACGATTCCCCTGACCCTAAATGGAGGGCTAAACTTGTCGTGGAAGTGAAGGATATAAACGGGATGGATATGGGGTTCCTAATTCATCAAGATCAAGCCGTCTGGTCATGGAGAACCGAGCCACCACACGCGGCTTCCTTTTGGGATCAACCAAGACATCAGGATGTGGTGATTCCAATCAAAGCAGAGCCACAATGGTAGCCTGCACGGATCATGGGTAGTTTCCGGCATAAGTGCTGGCCTTCCTAGGGCCATACTCCCTCGTTCTTAAATGATTTCGGTCATAGATGAGCTTTCGGGAGGCAGGTAGCAGTCTACAAACAATAAATGATACTCCAGTCGATAACATCGTTCCTGTATTCTTTTTGAAAGCACCCTGCAGAGGAAGTTACGCCCAAAACTTCTTAGAAGGAAGGCTCACGCCTCTGACATGAGGCCTTGGTGTATTAGGAGTTTTCTGCTTGTTGTGATTTCGTGAACTCTTCTCTCTCCCCAACCACGTCAGAACAATCAAGGTAAGGCAATGATTGCAGACAGCTTCAATAACAACTTTGTCTATTTCTTCTACATTATGCTAACACTATATAGATGACACGACCAAGACTCACAATCGATACGTCTGTGGGCTCTGCCCACAACCGACCAACCTCCACCCCTTCGACCGACCACCCCCCCGTCTTCTCTCCCGCTCAGCCTCCCTCTTCCAGCACCAGTGTTGGGGCTCCCGTCCTCATCATCCACGTCCACCGCCCCGCCTCCCTCCGCGACACCCTCCGCCAGTGGCTTCGGCCTTTCCTCGCCTTCCTCCCCCCTTTCGTATCCGTCGTGGTATACCGACAACTCCTGGACTAGCCGCCATCCCTGGTGTTTTCTGTTTTTGCCCTTTGGGTTTGGTTTGTGTCGTGTTTTTTCTTCCTGCGCCGGCAGGTTGAGAGGGTTCTTTTCCCTTACTTTCGTTAATTTTTAACCCCCTTTTTTATATTTAACAGTACTTTTAAAATACCTCTTTATCCTCTGGTAATAAACGCTCAAATGAGCGTCATGATCCGTTTTCATTTTCCGAGGATACGAAATGAATAAGCTGGAGGGAGAAAGAGGGCCCGATGAACGACTGAGCCGTACTAGTCTCAAGCCTGGTCAACTGTAGACGAAAGTATAGCAGCAGACTGGTGGCTATCCCCTGGCAATACTGGACAAACGGCCAAACTTTATCCTCTGGTAATACTGTCTGTCTGAGCTTCAAACGAGGACAGGAGATCGGCTTTTATACTCCCGACCGGCTGGCCTCAGTGCCAAACTGCGTATATGCCTGGCTGATCCAAAGCCCATGGAAGCCTCTGAAAAAGAAGAGAAGTTTATTGGCGGGAGCTTTCAATCCTGGTTGCTATGGTTAGTTCTAGTTCTAGCCTTGGCTTCAACTACGTGCAGAAATCCTCCGCTGACACCTTCAATAGCCGTTCCTACATCAGATATTGAGACCGGCGTTATCTGTGGCTCTTCATGTTCAGTCTTGGTGCCGACATCGATATCCGCCTTCAAGATGAGACTCAGAATCTACTGCATCACCAGTCTTTTTGTACTCAATGTTGGCGTTCAAATTGACCATCTCTCTCGGACGGCCTCTATTTCAGCCTCTACTCCAGCCTTCTACTCGACTACCGCCACGCCATACGGCTTCCATATCTGCTTCTGCGGCGGCAGGATCAGACAGAAATGCCAGATGTTGTTCTCTGACAGTACATGTGACGTGCTTCATCACTCAACACACGCGGAAACAACGTGCTGACTGGCTTCGCTTTAGCTCTCCTACCGATTTGGCCGGACATTGTGGTATGAAGGACCATGAACAGACACGGTCCATGCATTCGTAGTCCACCAGCATTGGTATATTGAGCTCGAGAACACCGTGCTTGTCGCCTGTCACAAATTTCGAAAAACGCATTGAAACACGAAGAACGCAATGAGAACGCACAGCTTCTTGCGCTCATGGTCAGCCTTGTTGAGAGAATTACACCTGCTCATGCGAAGGCTCAATCACCAAGGGAGACAATCTCCATCTTACTTGGGGGACTTGGCCAGCAGTCATTCCTCCTTGACATTGGGGATCGAACTCGGTGGTCACTACGCCTACCTATCCTCAGAATATCCAGCACACCCGCCCTTCGGTCTTCTGGCACTCACTGAGAATGACCACATGGTTATAGGACAATTCCATTCTCAAGGTTCCGTGAAACAATCGGAGGAAAGTTGCTGATCAGTAGGGGGCGATGCCGAGGCCAAATCAGTTCGGAATATGCTGGGTAAAAGCAAGATGCACCAGTAGCTTGAGGGCCTTTGTACTAAGATGTGGCTTAAAGGGGCCCAGCTCTTGGTTTAGGAAGAAAATGCTTCTCGGAACTGAGCTGGTTTGAAATGAAGTGATAGGGTGTCGATGCATCACTGCTAAATAGTCGAGAAATCCTTGATCGACATGCATACTATTATTCACCCTGTAAGTCAGATAGACAGATGAATTCATATATCATAATCAACGCAGAGTATTTTTGTATCTCTGTGAGATCTCACTGCTGAGCAATGCCTATTGAACTTCGACAGGTCTAGGACAGAGAAATGCCATGATGCGCCGCTGTAGCCTGAGAAGTACAAGCTAGTCAAAGCGAGGTCGGTATTCAACATCCTCCAATACATGTAGCGTTACGACGCGACTCCAGTACAGACTTACCTTAATCATATGAAATAGTCTTTCTTCGCTCAATGGCAAGACCACTGGCACGCCAGGTTTGACGGAGACCGATCACGAGAACCAAAAATGGGACACGAGCTGTTGTTGTTGTCGATCATTCCAAGATCCCACTTCGTGAGAGTATCGTGATATTGAGACCAATCCCATAGGCCCAAAGAGAAACTAGGCAGATTTCGCTCTACCCACATAACCGGACCGGAAACCCAAAGAAACAAAATACTGAACGATGGATATCACCGCCAAGAAATCCACAAACCCCCTTTTTCTTTTCTTTACTCTCTCATCATGATCGAGGCGAACTCGTCGTCTATCGAAATGTAGAGTCAGCATTGCCACCAAGTCACCCAATAGTGAGGCAGAGAGGGGGGAAACGTGAAGTCTCTTACAGTCAATTGATCCATCGCCATCCTTGTCGGCCATTTGAATCATCTCATCAATCTCCGCCGCAGTCATGTTCTCACCGAGCGAGGTGAGGACATGGCGCAGCTCCTCGGCCGAGATGGTGCCGCTGCCGTCGCGGTCAAACACCTTGAAAGCGTTCTTGAGCTCCTCCTCGGCATCGCCGACCTGCACCTTTTGCGCCATCAAGTTGAGGAACTCTGGAGGAAAGTCCGTCAGCATATGTTCCATATGGAAGAGGGGTCTTGCGGAGGGCGGAGGTGATTCGAGCTCACCGTTGAAGTCAATGGTGCCGTTGTTGTCGGCGTCGACCTCGTTGACCATGTCGTTCAACTCGGTGTCGCTGGGGTTGAGGCCCAGGGACCTCATCACCTCGCCAAGCTCCTGGGCGGTGATGTCACCTGCAGGGACGATGTCAATTTCCGTTGATGGGATGGAGAAAAAAGTAATAGAGGTCTCGCATATCAAACAAGAAGTGCATAAAATGAAAAGAGCAAGATGAGATGGAAAAAAAGGGGTCTAAGCCAGATCCTCTCTTCCGACGCTCATCCTGCCAAAGAGGGTTCAAGTCGAGTTTCAATGACCCCCCAGTTTGCCGGTGGCGGGAGGCGAAGCAAACCAAAATATTAAAGGGTTCATGGGAGAACATAAAAACTAACCTGTTCCATCCTTGTCCTATTTTGCACAGGCAAGTAGTTAGTAGAGATGCTTGATTTGAGGTTTGAGAAATTTGTTGCGCAAGCTCTACACAATGCGCTGCCAGCCTGATGGAAAGGGGGAGTGAGGGGCATTGAGGCAGCCAAGTGACGGAGAGAGCTCGGAGGGGTGAGTGAGAACTTACGAAGAGGTCAAACACCTCCTTGTACTGCGCCCTTTGCTCCTGAGTCAACTGTGCAGCCTGTCAAACACACGTTAGCTGCAGCTCATTTGATAGTCTTTCACACAAGACTAGCGATCCGAATCTCACCATCTTTTTTTTATTATGTGGTTGTCTGTTTTTGGGTGATGGGATTTTGTTTGTGAAGGAAGATTTGGGTGAGTGAGAGGTGGTTTGAGACAGGGAAGACGGCGTGGGACAGCTGAAAGCGGGGATGCGACCACGAACCCCGCACGGTGTGGGCGGTGGGAAGAGCCATGGGATTCATACGGTCTTGGTACAAAACAAAGAGCCGTGAGGTAAGGAATGGTGGGCTGGGCTGGGCTGGGCTCGCCATGGTCCAGGTTGCATCAACGTTTCCTTGTTTAGAAGCCCAACGGTCATGATTAAGTCAGCCTTGTGGTGATGTGATATCTGACTAGACCTGCCTGCCGTTGCGCTTGCTGTGCGTGCTCAGGCGATGCATGGCAACCAATAGTGGAACGAGAAACCTCTATTTGACACGGTCCAGCTTAAGGCTTGGAGTGCCTGATTTCTGCTACTTGCCTGCTGTTCTCACTGATTTGCTTCCGTCTCCTTCAGCCTCGCAAAATATCGAAGTATTTTCCCGCTTAAACCGTCATAGATCAATCATTATCATGTAGATGACCAAAACATCAAAATGGCAAAAGTTATCAGGGGCCCAACCGCGATTCGAACGCGGGGCCTCGCCCATTCAAGCTACGCTGAAGGGTTTTTAAACCCGAAGGGCGAATCATACCTCTAGACCATTGGGCCTGATGTTGCTGGATGACAGTTCCCCGCACGAGCGAGCCTAAGACCGCGAGGGCGCCTGCCTGAAATCGTGACTGCAAAAGACAGGGAAGAAGGCAGTCTCCTGATCCAAGTTGGGGGACAGTGGCGGCTATTTGAGCTCAGCCCAACAAGCCCAGCGCACTGATTTCATTTCCCGCCATCACATTGCCTGCCAGGATGACGTCGATTATCTTCCGTCAACCATCGCTCATCGCCGAGGGGAGTCCAGGAACATCAACGCTCTGCTATGCTCACCATCGTCAATTGCCATTTTCCTCTTGAGTGAGAAGAAAACCAACATATCCACTCATCCGCCGCTTACATCGGAAAAGCCAAGCCTGTACAGGTTCAAAAACCACGCGACCACGTCCGTCTCGTACTGCCGCAACACCTAACCCACCGCCAAACCTTTCCCTTCATGCAAGTGTCGGCCAACCTGCAAACCAACCTTACCGATCCCGACTATTCCCAACTGGCGGAACCCCCCACCAACACCATTGACCTTACATGATGACCCCTCCAGACTCCCCCCCATCCCACGCCTGGTCGCAGGGGAAGGCAGAAAATGGGAGAAGAAAGACACCGGTCGGCGCCCCCGCCAAGCAAGCCCGCACTCCAACAAACTCCCAGGTCTGTCCCTCGTCCGGGGTGGAGGAAAAACTTACGATACACCGATGAAATGACCCCGCCAACGCCATTTCCAGCGAGCAAGTCGACGCGAGACCTACCTTACCCCCGGGAGTCGGGAGACGCTACCGACCTCCCACCCAATTCGATAACCTAGCCCAGACTCCCCCAGCAGTCTGCAGAGGAAAGGAAGAAAAAATTTTGACCTCCGATAACGCCCTTCCCTCGTACGTGTGGCCGCGTGCGGTGAGCTTTCCGCACCGCCAATTCCCACTCCCAGAGATCGACCCGCACTATTATTTCTTCGTCCTATCCTGTCCGTCGCATTTCTTAAGGTAATGTTTTCTCTCCTGCCCTTTTGGCTTCAAAGGTTCTCAAAAGTACCTCTACCTTACCCCGTGTGATCTTCCTGCCTCCCGCTCCCGCGCCGGGTACCCGCTCCGATAGCATACGAAACTCCATCCACAGACACCAACACCAGACGAGAGCCACAAGATGCCCTCCGACCCGGCGGCGGCAGCGGCGACAGAGCCAGCACCCTCCTCCATCCTCATCATCGGCTCCGGCATCTTCGGTCTGACCACGGCCTACGAGCTCGCCCAGCGCCCACGCTACGCCTCCACAAAGATCACAGTCCTCGACCGCTCTCCGATCCCCGGCCCCAGCGAGGACGCCGCCTCCGTCGACTCCTCCCGCATCATCCGCGCAGACTACGCCGATCCGGCCTACGCGACCCTCGCCGCCGAGGCCCAGACAGAATGGCGCAAGACCGCCCACCCCTCTGACCTCGGCGCAGAGGGCCGCTACAGCCAGTCCGGCCTCTGCCTCGTCGCCGACCCCGTCGCCACGGCCTCGACATCGTACTTTTCCTCCTCCTCCTCCGCTTCAGCAGCAAAGACCAACGCCGACGCCAAGCAAAAGGCCAAGAAGACCTCGCTCGAATACGTCCGCGAAAGCTACAACAACGTCGTCTCCCTGGCAGGCAAGGACGGCGACAAGATCATCAAGGAGCTGCCCACTCCCACAGCCATCAAGGACTACCTCGGCACCCCCGAGGCCCCGGGCACATGGGGCTACATCAACCCGCTCGCGGGCTGGGCCGACGCCGGCGCCTCAATGTCCTACCTCGCGCGCAAAGTCGTGGCTCTTAACCGTGTCACTTTTGTGTCCGGCGTCGCGACCCGCCTAAACTACACACCCGACAAGTCGACCGTCACAGGCGCAACCCTCCAAGACGGCTCCGTCCTCTCCGCCGACCTCGTCGTCGTCGCAGCCGGCGCCTGGACCGGCGCCCTCGTCGACCTCTCCGGCCAGGCCATCGCCACGGGCCAGGCCGTAGGCTACATCGACATCACCCCCGACGAGCTCGAGGTCCTCCGCAAGATGCCCGTCACCCTCAACTTCAGCACCGGCCTCTTCATGATCCCCCCCTCAGGCCTGCAACTCAAAGTCGCCCGCCACGCCTTCGGCTACCTCAACCCGACCGCCATCCCCCACCCCTCGCCCCAGACCCCGCCCTCGACAAAGTCGACAGTTTCCCTCCCGGCAACCCACCTCACCGACCCGAACCTCAAATTCCCCGCCGAAGGCGTCGCCGCCCTCCGCAAAGCAGTCCGCACCATCGTCCCCATCCCCGCCATCCACGACCGCCCCTTTGTCCACACCCGCCTGTGCTGGTACACCGACACCCAGACGGGCGACTTCCTCGTCTGCCACCACCCCACCGCCCGCAACCTCTTCGTCGCCACCGGCGGCAGCGGCCACGGCTTCAAGTTCTTGCCCGTGCTCGGTCGCGAAATCGTAAACGTGCTCGAGCGCCGCGGCGACGAGGTCTTCACCGAGAAGTGGCGGTGGAGGGAGGTCAAGAGCAAGGCGGACGTGACGGATTTGTACGAGCACATCATGACGGAGGACGGGAGCCGAGGAGGCATACCTGGTCTCTTGCTGAAGCAGGAGCAAGCCAAGTTGTAGACGGAAGAATTAACACCCATCCATCCACCCAACGGAATCGCATTGATGTAAGTATATGCTGAATGTAGATACCATGTAGCGACCGTAGAGATAAAGCTGTTTAAAATGTACAGTCATGAAATAATATCAAGAGCCACAGGGGACAGAGCTCGCGTTGAAGGAGTTGTGAGTTTCAAGTCTATTACGAGGTGTAATGAGTACGTTCGACAGTAGTACGTAGATACATCAGTCACTAGTCACCATCACAAGGCAGGCACAGACATGTAATAGAAACCGGGTGTTGGCATTGTACTAAAAGATAATGCCGACTTGTCAACTCGAATCAAACTCGCAGACTGAACGTAGAGTAAGACTTGAGTGATCGGTTATGTTGCCTGAAACTAGGCAACGATCATTGCAAAACCGGTTTCCCCCCTTCCACCAGCAGTCCCTCCCGACCTACTGTCCAGGAGGCAACTTCAACTCCGTCTCATCCCCGTTGATCATCCCCCATCCGGTCCGAGACCCCAATGCATCTAAGTCGAGTCCATTAAAAACGGCAAGGTCGACCTGCGCATCTGCCGTCGACGGTGCCACGAGCAGTCTATGTAGTGCCGCGGATTGAGAAATCTTATTCTTTTCATTTGAATCAACCACCTGACCGGAAACTTCCGGCCCAGGTTACCTCCTGTACCAACGCCAATGCAATGCAACGAAAAAGATGAAGTGAGCAGAACGTGCGTCGATGATTGTGTCACGACCATGTTGCCAGGTGACGGACGCTCGATTTTTTTTGGGGGTTGTGTGCGAAAAAGAATTCGTGGTATCGTGAAAAAAGTGTCTAGTCGTACAAAGTCGGTGGTTTTGTGTATGGTGGTAGTACATCGACTGGGTCAATGATCTATCCATGTGTTCAAGTGTCTGTTTAGACCTTGCGGAAATCTAAAGAATAATTAGTAGGTGAAGACCGGAGATTAAGAAAAGGTACTTACCCTGAAGCACGGGATAGATCATCTCGAAGGCCTGGTAAATCTCCTCTCGCACCTTGGCACCGGTGAGGACGATCTTGCCGCTGACGAAGATAAGGAGCACAATCTTGGGCTTAATCATGCGGTAGATAAGACCAGGGAACAGCTCAGGCTCGTAAGAACTGAAGTTGTGATGGCGCGAAGCGAGACCCTCCAAGCGAATGGGGAACTTGATATCGCAAGAGCCGACAATGTTCTGGATCTTGAAGTCCGTGAACTTGGCGTTGAAGCCGAGCTTCTGGATGATACGGGCGTACTTGCGAGACGCAAGCTTCGAGTCATCCTCGGACTTGGCACCGGTGACGACCATCTTGCCGGAAGCGAAGATCAGGGCAGTGGTCTTGGGCTCACGAATACGCATGATGACGGCAGCGAAACGCTGTAAAGTCAGAGTCAGCGACAGTGCAACTCGAGTGGGCATATTGTCTCACCTTGGGGTTGTACTCTGCGTTTCTCGCGTGCAGGGCGATCGTCTTGAGGTCCAAGCGGCAGTCCAAGTTTACCGTGGCAACGATGTTCCTTGAGTAGGCGAGATAAGCCTCATTGAGCAGAAAAAAGATCACTCGTGATATACATACTGCAACGTAGGAGTCAAACCACTGCCACCCTGTGTCGCGGCAGGCGTCGCAGCAGGTGTCGCGGGTGTCACCCCGGTACCGTTTGCAGGCTGCTGGCCGTTGGGCACAGGAATTTGTCCGTTGACGGCCGCCTTGTCGCCGTTCGCCTGGGGAGGGAGCTCGTGAGCGCCGCCGGGGAACGAGAGGGAGCCGGGCGCGGTGAAAGCCTTAGCCTGCGCCGCACTCGTGGGATGGGTCTGAATCGCCTCCATGATTGCGGTGGATGGATGATGACCTGAAACCGAGAATAAGAGCAGATCTGAAGCCTTGCTAGTTAGTCTCGTTTCTCGAATCGATTGTAATAATGATAAGAGTATGAAGCGTGGCTCCAAAAATGGGGACTGTGAAGTGATAATGAAAAGATATGAAAATGGGTCAAGCGCGGCAATATTGTGTTGATGGGAAACTTTGGTGAAGTAAAAGATGCAACATTATGTTCGGAGGTTGGGGGCCAATCACAGGCGCCAACCACCCCCACCGGTTTGTGGTAGATGGGAAGGCACGACAGAGATGATGGGCGGGCAAATGGAGGAAGGCACCCCGACCACGACAAGAGAGGAGAGAAAAGGAAGGAGGGCATACCAATTGTTGGAGATGAACAAATAAATGTCTCCCCTACAGTATCTGCTGGGCAGTAGGTATGTAGGTATGCGCGTGTATCTTGCGATGCGACTTTTCTTGCGATCAGTGCCGAGCTTGTGACAGCGGCGGGAACGGGATGCAAATGGATCAAATGAGGTAGGTCGACGAGAAGGTCGTGGGTTTCGTAGGCGTCGCTTCGATAATGTCGCGAATGACCCAGATGCCAGCAATCAACTCGACGTCTCTGGATACCTCGTCACGGTTCAAAGCACGGTGTCTCTATTCGGCGACGGTGCGTGCGATGTCTACAGAGTGCAACGGACTCGTTCTCGACCTGGTGTGTCGTCGGAAGGGGTTCGCGCGGGAAGTCTGACGAAGATATGTCTCGAAAGGAACGTATTCCAGTTCTTTTCTCGTCTCAGAGTACGAGATCCGGGGGGACACTTTCAGTTAAGAAGGTATACCGCCTGGGGGTTCTGAGGATTGACGGGTTCGTCGGGTGGTTAATAGGGAGAGGAAGAGAGAGTAAAAGTCGACTTCCGAGATGTGGAAACAAGAGTCGCGACAGCGAGCTGTGTTGTCCAGAAGGATCGCGAGGAAGTAGAGTGTAGGTTGATGACAGCAGATGTGTCTATCGTGGATATCGGACTTGTGGATGTTGCGATGACGATGACGACAAGGACGATGCGAAATCGTATCTCTGAGTCGTGATTGGAGGATTGGGGATGGATTGAGTGGGGGTGGAGAAGGAAGATTAGAAAGGCCGAACGTGAATGGATGACTACGCAAGGCCGTCGGTCGGAGCTTCCGCGCAAGAATTTCGAAACAAGCGGGTTGGAGGGAGGCCTGCCTCTTTATAATTTTGGCCATGGCCTACCTGAGCAGTCGCCCCAACGACACCCCCCTGCCACACAACCCAGGGGCCCCAGGCAGCCAGTGCGCCGTGGCGGTTGGTCCTGCTTGACATTGCTTGTGCTTAGCGGCCACGCTAAGGGCATGCACCCAATCAGCGCCTTGGAAAATCTTCATTCTATCTCCTTCCTGTCCCCATGTACCCCTGCTGTGACCACCCCAGCCCCTGAAGTATCGCAGCACCGCGTTTAAGGTCTCTATACTTTGCATTGTGAAATCCATTAATTTTCAACCAAGTCGCTTCTTTTTTTTGCGACAATGCATTCTGGCCAGTGCTTACCCTTCCAGTTCCACGCCTTCCAGTCTTTCTTGATTGAATCTCTGCCTCTCCTTGCGTTGCTTTGCCTTTTACTTGCCTCTGGCGTGCCCTTCTCACAGCTGCCCAACCTGCCACTGGCCAGCTCTTGGACGTCCCTTCACCACAGAGGCTGAGATGCCCTCCCTGATGGATCCTACCTATGTCATCATCAGCTGCCATCCCTTTTTTTTTTTTGTCTTGTGCTCTGTTGCCCCGGAGCCTGCTTTCCTGCCTTCTATCCGTATATTTTTCTTCCCTTTCTTTTTTATCGTTGCCCCCTGCCAGCTGTGACTCGACTCGCTTGCCTAGGTTCCTGGCCCATCCCTGATGGCCACACTTTTTCCGTCAACGCAACCCGGCGTGATCATCCACTCCGATCGCAAGCACTTTTCTTTCTTCCTCGCTTTCATTTCGGAGCTGTGGGCAAACTGCGACCTTGACCTACCGCTTCCCTACTACAGACACGGCTTTCACACACTTGTCAGAATGCGACACTCTTTTCAGCACTGCTCGCCACGGCCTCACGACGCGACGGGTCAGCACTCAGCAGCAACAGCAACAAGACTGACATGACGGCGAAACCAACCACATCTGACAGGAGCATGACGACGATCTCATTCGCTCCAGCCATGCGCTCAAACAGAGGAATAGGAACGAATGGCGCGTATTCGTTTGTTCACACCACGCAGTACGGAGTATGGACTACGGATACCGCACTGCATCCCGCGACAGCTCAGCCCAAAACCCTCCAAAAATCCAGCCGGGTAATAGGCCGTGGGCCGTGTCAAGACCATCTGGACGCCAACCAAATGCAAAATCCCACTGGCGGCGCTACCTCGTACGGGTGCCGCTACCACAAACGCTACCCATAACCCACGACCTGCCGACCCATTCCGCCATTCCGCTCGCTTCTTCCTCCTTCTTCCCAGTCTGCCAGTGCCAGGCCCGCCTGGCTGTCTGTCTGTCTCGCGACTAGCCATAGTCAGAACACTCCGTACGGATACCAGTCTGTCCCAGGCAAGCCCAAGCAACATAAGCCAGGCAGGCTCCAACAGGCTCCTCAGCGCCGCGTCAGTCAGTTTCTTTGGCAGCTGCAGCACACCCACCACGACTCCAGGAGTCTAGAGTCCAACCACTGGGGGGGTGTTGGTCTGGATTGACACCGACTGGGCCCCCCCTTCCATCCTCACCCCTTTCTGACCTGCCCCCCCCTCCCCTCCCCCCTTTTTATGATTTTTTCCAATCCTCTCGTCCCAGCAACCCAAGGGTTTTCTTTCCCTCTTCCAACCCTCTTCTCTCAGTCTCCTACCACACGCTAGCGCTCTGAAACGCTGAGCCTGCCCCCTACTTTGATGGCCTCACTGACGATCACCTCCGACACGAGCTCAGTCAGTGCAAAGCGGCGGCAGCGGCAAGAACAGCAACAGGAGCGAACGGCCTCTCCGTCAAACCTGTCAGAAGGGTCACCAGACCACGTTGTCGGCATGTCGCCCGGACGCGAGGACACGACACAAACGCGGGGACCGAACAACAAGGAACAAAAGGGACCGTCATGACCACCAGGCAGGAACGCGAAAACGGCAGCTATTTTTCATGGCGCCTGCACTGCTTTCGGGCATTCGCGGTCTGTTGGCAGGAATTTATGGGCCGCGGCAGCAAACAGACGGCTTGCGACGTGTGAGTCATTGACTTCAGACCGGCTCCAATCGGCCAGTGGCCAGCCATTGGTAAAGAGGGAGACGGGAGAAGGGGGAAGAGCATTGAGAAAAAGGGCTGGGTCTGCCAGTCTGATCAATGGTGCGTGTTTGTCGGTCGCCTCCTACTGCGTACTCCTCCCACCAGGCCCCCGCAACAAGACTGGCGCGTCAAGGTACTGGGTACGCGAGCCTTGCCACGCCGCGGCCCATCACTGGGGACTATACGCAGTATACCCATCTCTGGAACCCGAACTTTCGCCCGATGGAAAAACTCTGTCGACATCCATCAAAGAAGGTCCTTTTGCGACTTGTCTTTCCCCAAAGAGAACTGAATATCGTGTAAGTCCGCTCACCAGCAGCCAGCACCTCTTCAACTCGACCTTTTGTGTCCGCTTGACGTCGCTCTAGCCCAAGCATGGCTGGGCGTTGCTTCGCCATGGATGCAGAGAAAGGGCGCTTGCAGCAATATTACAGATGCAAATTTTATTGCAATCTTACAACAAGGTATCGGGTACCAGGTCTATCGCGAGACTGTGGGTAATGGTCCGTGCACGCACAAGTACCTCTGGATCCATTCCCAAGTCGAGGTACTTTGTCCACGCCTTCGGCTTTGCCCTCGCGACTCATGCATGTGTGAGCCCCATTGCCCCAAACCTCAGGCCAAGGTTTTTCCTTTTTTTTTTTTTTTTTCTTTCACACCCCAACCTCGTGCTTGCAGCTGCTGCTTGCTGGCGCTGCTTGCCAGGTGCTTGCTTTCCTATACGGTTTTAAGGCCGCATCTCGGCCTTGCGGGCCCTACCAAAGCTCCATCTGCGCTGCGACTCATGCAACTTCAAACATCAAACTCGTACTTTGTAAGTCCGACAGCCTCGTTGGAACATGGAGGTGGCTCACCCTCACCCTCGAACTTGACACCACCACTCCCTGAGACTGTCACCGTATGTATCCTATTTCTGCCTCCATCGCGACGCCCAAGGTTTGGCTGCCCATCGCACTGCCAATTCTCCTCGCTTTGGGCAGCGTGCAGAACCCAGCAACTGACCTAGAGTTCCCAACTAAACGTAAGAAACCAAACAAAACCCAAAGAGCTAGCTACACGACTCAATCAACTGGCACGCAAAGCACGCCATCAGACCGAGATTCAAAATAAAGATTCAAAAGAACGCTTGTCCGACTTGAAAGACTGCACTCCAGCCACTGAGACGGGCACTGAACCCGCATTCTTTACACATTTGCAAAGTGTCCCGTGGGAAAAAATCGTGGGCCTCCCCCCCTCCTCCCCCGTTCCAGCCTCGCCCAACGCATGGAGTTCATGAACCACAAGTGTCTCGCAAGTTCGCATCGCACCCTTGGTTGTCTCCGATGTCGTTCCCTTCTCACCCCCTCCCACCTGCCCCCCTCCCATTCCCGCATTCCGCCCGACTCGGGGTCTACCTCCGATCGGGTGCCACTCCGCACAGTCGCAACTTGAGCACGACCTGGAAGAAATGTTATTTTTCCTGCAGGGACTCTCTCTGTCTCGCGATGTACGTGTCGACTTGATTCAGCAAAGGCCCCCCCCTCCATCTTTCCGCTTCTCACGTGAGGGAAGTATATACTATCTTATCCTTCCATACCCTCCATCGTCAATCACGAGCCGACGGGAACGACGTCGCGGCAGTAGGGACCCCTTGCCTTTTTGCGCGCCCCTTGTCTTTCCAGAACTTCGACGTCGATGCAGGCAAGGGACGCGTTGGGCATTCGTCTGATATGCCGCACACTGGGCACACACTGGACACACGCACACATGCACAATACACGCGCCAAGTCGGGGCCAGCTTGCCGGACCAGCCTAGACGGGAACAATCGCGTGTGTCGTCATTTATATGTGCAAACCAAACTGCCCAGTGGGTGAGTAAGGTAAGGGTATCGTTGTATCCTTCTTTGCCGATGCGGACTGATAGGGATATCCGTACTGCGTAGTCAGTTATTACTGCTGCTGCTGCTGCTGCTGGTTTGGATTGTTAGACGGTCTCTGCGCAATCACATGGCAAACTTCGACAATTTCTTTGTCATGATATTCTGCCTTTTCCTCATTTTTGACCGGCTATTCCGGCTACGAAAACAACCTCCACCCCAAGTGCGGTTACACAAAACCCTCCATTGACACCGGTACTGTATTCGGGAAGAGGCCTCTATATGTTCAAAGCCCATGCTCTCGACACTCCCTTGCACATGTTGCCCCAACTCTTCCATCTCCCTCCGTCTCGAGCAATATCGTATAAAGATATCCCTGCTATAGTCCTTGGTTCGATCTTATGGGGGAAAAGATGTGACGGTCTTTTGTCCAGATCAGATGAGAGAAAGAACATGGTTTTTCTATCCGGTAGTAAATACTCCCAGCCATGATGCTGATGGATATATAAAAGTGGTCTCATGACATGTAGTACTTGGGACCCTCGCCACCCTGCGGGACCTGCCAGTTGATATCCTGGTTTGGCGCCTTGATGTCGCACGTCTTGCAGTGGATGCAGCTACAAATGTAAAAAGTCAGTAAAACGTCCTCTCGTGATAGGATACCTGTAAAGGAAACGTACTTTTGCGCGTTGATCTGGAACCGCACCCCAAGCTCCTTGGTCTCGTCCTCAACATACTCATACACGCCCGCCGGACAGAACCGGTTCTCGACGCCCTTGAACTTGGGCCACGTCTCCCGCGTGTGCTTCTCCCAGTCCTTGACCTGCAGGTGCACCGGCTGGTCCTCCTCGTGGTTCGTGCCCGTGCGGCTGACGCTCGTGAGGATGTCAAACGAGATCTTGCCGTCCGGCTTGGCGTATTCAATCTTGGGGAACTTGTCCGCGCTGCCCGTCGCCGCGTGGTCCGGCGTCTTGTGCTTCAGCGTCCAGGGGACGCGACCTTTCAGGACGTACGCCTCGAGACCGGAGTAGGCGATGCCGCCGTACAGGCCCAGCGGGGTGTGGAATGAGGGGCGGAAGTTGCGGACTTCTTTGAGTTCTTTCCAGATGGAGGATTCGCGGAGCTTGTCTTCGTAGTCATATAGGAAGACGGTGTCGCGCGGCTTCTCCTCGGCCTCCTCTCCCTCTCCCTCCTCCGCTACCGCGCTGCTGCTGGACGACGAGGAGAGTGCGTTGAAGGCGGCCTCGGCGGCGAGCATGCCCGACTTCATGGCGTTGTGCGTACCCTTGATCTTGGGCAGGTTCACGAATCCAGCCGAGTCACCAATCAGCGCGCCACCGGGGAACGCGCACTTTGGGATCGACTGGAACCCGCCCTCAATCAGAGCGCGCGCGCCGTATGTGAGGCACTTGCCACCCTCGAGGACCTCCTTGTACATGGGGTGGTGCTTCATCTTCTGAAACTCGCCGTAGGGCGAGACCCAGGGATTCTCGTAGTCGAGCGCGACGACGAGGCCGATGCTCACCAGGTTGTCCCCGAAATGGTACATCCAGCCGCCGCCGTACAGGTCCTTGGACAGCGGGTAGCCCATGGAGTGCGTGATGGATCCCTTTTGGAACTTTTCCGGCTGCACCTCCCACACCTCCTTGATTCCCAGCGCGTACGTCTGGTGCTGGCTATCGCGGCGCAGGTCGAATTTCTTAATGACCTGCTTGCTCAAGCTGCCGTGACACCCCTCGGCAAAGAGCGTGCAACGCGCGTGGAACTCCATGCCGCGCTCAAACGCGTCCTTTGGCTTCCCGTCACGGCCGATACCGAGGTCGTTTGTCGCGACGCCCTTTACGCTGCCGTCAACCTCGTTGTAGAGCACCTCGGAGGCGGCGAAACCAGGGTACACCTCGACGCCGAGCTCCTCGGCGCGGTCGCCTAGCCACTTTGTGAACTGGTTGAGCGAAACAATGTAGTTCCCGTCGTTGTGCATCTGCGGCGGGGTCGGTAAGGGGATCGCGGCCGACTTTGTGAGGAAGCGCATGCGGTCACCGCCGGCGGGCGTGGCGTACTCGAAGCGGTCCGGGTTGTCCTCGGACAGCCAGTCCGGGATGAGCTCGTCAATGGCCGTAGGCTGGATGACGGCGCCCGAGAGAATGTGGGCACCCATCTCGCCGGCCTTTTCGAGGAGGAGGACGCGGAAGTCTTCGTTGCCGGCTTCGTTGGCGAGCTGCTTGAGTCGGATCGCGGCGCTGAGACCAGCGGGGCCTGGAGCGTTGAAGGCATTGTCAGCTCAATTGGGATCCAGACACAAAATGTATAGCACGAGGGCGTTGGGGGTGGAATGGTTCCGTACCGCCGCCTACAATGACAACGTCGACCTCATCTGCTTCACGCTCAATCGTTGCCGGATCGAATTCGTCGTCCTCATTGCTTCGTCGTGTCCTACTCGTCGTGAAAGTGCGTGCGCCAAGAGGCCTGAAGATCGTAACGCCCGCAGAGCCCCGTGTAGATGGTATCCTGCCAGTCGTGCTTCTTGACTGGGTTGTTGAGCTGGTGGTAGCCGTGGTGGCGAGTCCTGCTTGAGCGGGACGTGTAGCCCGGAATCGACACCTTGAGAGGTTGCGCGTGCTGCGCTGAAGACTCCTCGCGAGAGGTGACGCCGAGGTATTCATCTTGGCTACGGAAATATGTGCGCGAGCGTATGTATATGCTTGAGTTGATCGTGTCGTAGATCCGGACTGTCCCTTTCTAGTGAACCGGACTATCACAAGGAACGTCCAAGTTGGCGTGGGCGTGGTTTCGCTCCGTTCGGTTCCCTCGTGCGCTTTGAGAGAGGGAAGCCGAGGGAAAGCTAGTGACGCGGGCGCAATTGGTGTTTCTCTCACTCGACCAAGTCACTCTGTGGTTCGTCAATTAGGCAGTGGTGTGGTTGAAGTCTAGCAGCGGAACCTAGAGAAACAAGAAAAAAAATGGCGGCGGATCTTTTTCAATTACAGTAGACGGCACACTGGGGATCTTGACGAGCTTCGTTCCCTCCCCCCGTCTCTAATACGTAATGCGAGGGGTGGTCAAAATGCTTGTAACTTGCCGCCCACCAGCTCGGGCCCTGTGGTTTCCTGTGGGTGGTGATAGCCGAGAGAAACCGGTCGATGGTGTTTGGACTCGGTCAGTACTTGCACAATACAGCCATCTGTAGCTCAACCAGCAGGTAGACCCTCGGTATCCTTGGATGCTCTTTTTACAGCTGAAAGGTACCTGCGTATCAACGGCCGGGAGAAGCCGAGTGACTTCAAGCAGGTCAAGTAACCGTCGGACGCTGCAAAGAGTTTAACGTCTGGGGCGCCGAGCTGCAACCGTCCAATCACCGTCTGCAAATTTCAAATGTGAGCTGGGTCCCTCCGATGTCGTTTCGGCTGCAGGGGCACCTGTTGCCGTCGGCGTAGCCTTCATTTTGGCCGAACACAGAATGTTTAACACTGATAATTGCGAAGTTGAGAACAAGACATTTGTGGGTGCATTTA